CAGTCACTCTTGAGTGATCTTCAAAATTCAGAAATGGCCATTCTGATACAAAATTCACATGCTGGCAGGGGACCAAACACCAGACAGATCCAGAATTAAAGATTTGAAACAGCTCCCTGACACAGGTAGCCCAGCAAAGACAGTGCATTCAGTGCTCTAACAGCAAAATGTCATTTGGCTCCACATGCTTTGCTCAGGAGAGCTATTTGACAGTACTGCTACACGTTTACTGGGCTGGCAAGGATAACCTGACAATTATAGGTCTCAATATAATTGCTCATTGCTTTAAACTAAAAACAGAGTCAAATTCGTACACACTGGGGAAAAGGTTCATGATGTACTCTTATTACTACAGCCCTGGAGATAACAAGCCAGCCTGGGCAGATGCAGAGATTACACTTGGACTAGAGATTTAGAATATGTTCTTATCCCAAGCCTTCCTCTCCAGAGCTCAAGAGTCTTAGACTTGTGCTTATGTTCTCGAAAAAAAAAAAAAAAAGGCAATCAAAAAAACCCACAAACATTTTGAGATCCTTTTCACCGCTACTTAGTTGCTTTGCACTTTTAATGTTTGTTTGCAGCTGGCTGGGAGGCCTGCACTGATTTTCTAAGATTATTTAAATTCTTCTTTATTTGTTAACAACTGATGTTGGTTGCACAACCCATTGGCATGCAAACACTTCAGAAGAGGAGCTGCGAACAGCTTAGTCCTAATGCAAGTAGGAATAAGATTCAATGGCTTCAGCAGAGTTGCAAAACTAGAGCTCTATTGTTTCAGTGGGAGTTTCAATAATTAACATTTCCATTAGCTTTCTACACAAAAGACTGGTACCTCCCATTTAGGCAGCTACACAGGGCTACTTCATGCTAGGGCTAAACAGTAAACACTAAGACTTTCAAGCACACTGAACTCTTCGTTTCCTCCTTTGGTTATCAGCTAAGCCACAGTGTTGGAGAAGGATTTGTCCTCTTTGAGCCTGTGGCAATTTAAATAAGACAGAAGTTATGCAAATGCAGAGAATTATGTAAAAATGCAATTGGAAACTTTGTATTTTTAAAATGCACTTAACTCAAATGTAGCTGAACTGACATTACTCAGACCTTCCAGTTTTATTCAGCACTGGATTGAAACCAAGCACAAGAAATTTCAGACCCAAAGGACATTTTTTTTTAGAAAATTATAAGCACCTAAAGTAGAAATTTACAATAAAATGATTTAATTACAATGTCTGTCTGGGAAAGCTCTAACACCTAAAGAAAACCTAACCTATTCAACGAAACAAAGATTTTGTTATATCAAATGAAAAGGAAGTGAACTAATTAAGAGCATGTTTGATCCAGCCTGCAAACACAATGTGGGTCTGATTCAGCCCCAAACAGCACCCAAACCAGAAGTCTGGATTCAAATATCTGCGGTCTTCCTGGGGAATTTGGATATAGATTCAGATCCAAATTTTACTTTTAGAAAGCTCACTTCTAACCTGCACAAGCACAAGCTGTAGGCCCAGCTCTGCATTCCTTCCACACCCAAAACTGGAGTTCTGCCTGAATCAGGAATGCAGGGGAAAAATGATTTTCTTATCTTTATGGCAGATCTTGTGTGGTGATCTACAGGCCTCTGAACCTGCCAAAACTCAAATGTGTGACACAGTAAGCAGTATAATTCCAAAACCAATATATTCCAAATTATTACTCTTGTAGGGCACTTAAAATAATGCAGAACTATTTGCATAAGCATAAATAATTGTTCATAACTCCAGTATACATGGATATATTCTGATATTTTGCTACAAGGAAATTTCAATAAGGGAAAAGAAAACTGAAAATAATGGAAAGTAAGACAAAAAAACACATAGATTATCAATAAATTAAAGACGGGTTCTCAGCATAACATTAACTTCCAAAATCACAGGGTATCATTATGAACAAAAAAAGCATCTGATAAAGTCTTTCCATTATCTCAAAAGGTCACAGATTTCATCCCAACTTTTTGGTCAATGAAAGGCGGTGTTTCCCTTAGCTCCCCAACCAGCAGTGTGTCAAAACGTGCAGAGGGAAAGACCTTCCAAACGCATGAGGAACCATGGAAACAAGTAAGTCTGTCTATGTGTGGCTCTCGGTCCTTTATAAAGCTTCCCAATTTTTTAGTCAGTTTTATAGGGTCCAATAATGTTAGATACAGCTGCCATATTTTATGTCTATTTTTTTCCTCCCAAATCAGTCTAAGTTAAAAAAGCTCTTTTTGCAAATACAGGACGTAACTACATCTAGACAGTTTCTGATATCCAAGTGCCAACCCATATCACTCTGCTGCTGTAATTCTGGCCTTTCTGGCTGTTTTGCCTGTTATTCTACCCCAACCAGCATGCAAAAAAAGCAGGGGAAAAAAAAACCCAAACCAAACCAAAACAAAACCAAACAAAAAACAGCTCTTCTGTGGTCATAAAAGCCAATAGGAATATTAAGATAATTTTTATTGCATTTTGTTCAGACAAATATATTCACAATATTCAACAAAAGGATACACTGAATAGAGTACCCTGGGGCAACTAGTGAGAGAAAAATAAATGCTAGCTACAATCAAGGGCTTTGGCTGCTTTAAACCTTCCTATGTAAGATTAAATCAAAATATTTCCTATATGCATTCCCTCTTTTCATCAGCATGTCAACTGCAGCAAGTAAGAATGTGCTATTAATTGTCAGCATCAAAATCTGCGATAATTTTATATAATCAAATATTTTTTCTTACTTTCACAAAGACAACTTACTTGAAATGGTTTTGAAGCACGTTGCAAATAGAGCTAAGTGAGTCAGCTAGCACACAGCACACTTTTCAAGGAAAAGTTTCTAAAAATGAGGCAGGTTTTAATAAAAATGCCTCAGAAGTATGTAACTCATGCCCATAATAGAATATTTTTCAATTTTCAATCATGTATAGAGATTTTTTAAAATGTTAACAGATGTATAAAACAAAAAAGTAAAATTCTCCCTTCTTCTCTCCTGTGCACACATGTAATACACACACAAACCAACGGCAGGCATTTAGACACCAATACTGTTTTTACGTTTTCCACTAGAAAGACGATTCACTTGTAAATCTTTTTTCCCTTTAAATTGTTTCTGTGGCAACACATCTGGTACTAAAATTCTGGGCCAGAACATTAACTTTCTTCTTTCAGAATAGTTATGTTGTTGTTCTGGCCTGCAAGACTGTGAAGCAGGGAGAGATGTGCAAATACAAGCAATTATATAACCCTTCTTGCCTTCATAGGCACACAGAATATTAGCTATTGATCCTTATGCATAGCTTAAAATGGCTAATTTAAAAATGTTCATAGAATTGTTACAGAAAACTGCCACGGTGAGCACACTTTTTATGGCCATTTTTTTTAACGATTATTATTTTCAAGAAAATGATGAGCGCTTTGTTCCCACCAGAGGAACAAATATGAGGAAAGAATAAAAGCTGAGAGAATGAGGTTCCTTTCCTAATCATAAATGTAACTATCCCCATGTAAGAAAGAAGGGTTCCTACCCGGTTTTAGCACTTCCCCAGGGCTACCTAAACATTACTGTATTATCACCATTTCACAGATGAGATATGTCAGGTGCACACGAGGCCAAACCTTATGAAAAGTCTGCTGACCCTGCATGCCCTACCTGAGGTTACAGACACCTACTGATACTTCATGCCATGCCCTGCACAGCTCAGCTCAAGCACAGCAACATTTGGACAATCTGTAGTCTGAAAGCTTTGTTGTGGAGAACCAAGGGATAAAAAAGGGGGAGAGAAACCCTATAGCCTGAGTTCAGCTTGTAAGCCATCAAATGAACAATTTCTTAATTTATTAATAACCCCAAAAAGTCAGTGTGAAACCTTACAGACATACTAGATGACTGCAATCCAATGCAAGTTACTAGGGGTGCTTTAGAGTGCAGTGGAGACTGGCACATCAAGATACAAACCCTGCAGCGGTCTCAGTTCATGAGGGCCAGAGCAGTGCGCAGGGCTGCAGAATCCTCTTCCTTCAGTCTGGAACAGTAGGAGTTAAAAAACAAGGAGAATGGATTTTTGCTATTCAGTCAAGCAGATCAAGGATGAATTCATGGAAAGAACATATCTGATGAATTTAAAAGTACCACTGACACAGTTATTTTTCCAATAATAACGGCATTTTAAGTTCCCCATGAAACAGATTTTATTATTTAATTTGAAACAGCGAAATTCAATTCTGGATCAGTTACATACAAATTGCTTTGCTAACTACACTTACAGCATTTTCTTGTATTACTGACAAAGAAAACAAGATCATCTTGGTGTTCTGACCTTCTAAATTACTAATGATTAAATACATTGATGAGCTAAAGACCTTTTTTTTCCTAAGATGTTGAATTGAAGAGTAATTATGTTTTCAGGCACTCTGAAGACATTTTGGTTTAAATCAATTTGTGCTTAGGGAGAATAAACTGGCAACAGAAATGGAAAAGTCAGAAAAAGTGGATAGAGATGATATTTCAGAAATAGACCTTTATGTCCTTCTTGTACTACTGGAGGCGCCACCTTAAGACCAGAATTAAACCCAGGACCCCGAGCACCTCTAGTCATTAAAAGCTGGCTGATATTCTTTGCAAGATTTGCTGTCTGTGTCATTTTGGGTTGTCACCAGCCAGTCGATCCAAACACAAGTCTGGCCAATAACATTCTGGATATTTCAACTCTGTTACTTTCTCTCAAACCTTGGCTAAGATCAAATGTATATATTAAACTAACATTAAACCTACTATGTCACATATCTTTTTCCTTCCAATATGCCATATTTATTCTATCCAAATGGCATAATTATCACCTTTTCTGGGGCCTTTCCCACTCCTTTGCTTTATTAGGTATATCTTTCTACACCCAGAGCTTCTATTTTGTCCTGGTGCACCATAACTCCACATTATCACCCTCCAAAACCTTCAGAAAAAAACACATTTTAACAATAATTTTCTGCTCCCACTAGACTGAACCTGGTTTCCCTTTTTAGCCACAGTGGCCCTACTCCATTTCTCGAGTTTTTTATAGGGAGGTGAGATTCTGCACTTGCAAAGGAATTTGCTCTGGGAGGGAACAGAGTGATACTGGTAGATCTGCTGTTATGTGGCTCCATCTCCCCATGTAAGTTGTTCCTTAGGAACTCAGAGCTACAGTGAATACTGCAGAGCATTTCTGCTGTTGCTTTGTCCTGACAGAAGGAAATCACTTTGTCTTACACTGTCCCTTAGGGAATAACATTACATAATTCACCGTTTGGCATATATAATTCCCCATTCTTGGCTCTGTGCTGCTAGCCGAAACACCCCTGCTTCCCTTCAGCTATTAACTGACTCCAGAGCGGAGCACAGGATAGAGGCGCAGGACCTGTCATCCCAGGGAAGCCCTTTAATTCCTCTGAACAGTATCCAGACTCTAACTGGAAGAACATTTTATCAAGCTAGTTGTTCATTACTGTAGCACGTGTTGTATCTCTGTCAAGTTTCTCGTTAGACCTGGGGCACAGAACGTGGGCTCGGTCTGCCAGCAGCTCCACCCCATTTTGGCAAGTTTTCTGCAGTTTTTCCTCTACTACGTGTCGTGTTTATGTCATTCACTCTGCAGAACTCAGAGCAGCAGCACGGAAACGATAAACTGTACTAAGCACGAACACAACAGAGCTCTGAAGGTTCATGTCCCTCTGAGCACAACATCTTTCTTGGACATCTCTTTCTAGTCAACACGAAATATTCCCTCAGATATTCTACCCTTTCTGCGCTTTTTTTTTAATAAAAAGTCTTTTGAAAAACACTACTTAATGCCCCTCATTAATTTGTGTAGTCCCATTTTACTGCTGTGAAAACACAGCTAGAGTTGGATTAAGTTCTGTTTCTAACCAAGGAAATGACAGAATCGGGAGTCCTGAGTATCGTGCTGTACTCTGACTCTGGCTCAATACTCTCATGCTTAAGAAACGCGTCACTATTTTCCACATTCCTTCAAGTTTCTCTGGGTAGTGAACAACTCATTTTCCATCTAGCCCAACTTATTTAAAATGACTTTTTTGTTAATGAGGAACTAAGCTTTGGAGCAAAATGCAGCTGCGCTCTGACCCACAACCTCCACCCATATTTATGAGCAAGTAAAACACAATCCCTGCACAAGCAGAAAGACTTATCTAACATGCAACCAGCCCATACAATGACACCTCCAAAGCCCCACAGGACGGCAAGGAGCTCTCCTAATCTCTTACTTTCCACCTCGTCCTGATGGGCATTCACCTCCCAGGGGCTCCCTGGGTGGAAGCGCTTACTCTGGGTAAGGGCAGCTGCTCCCTGTGTGGTAGCAGCAGCA